CTAGAGTGGATTTCAGTTTACTTTTTAGCATCAGTGGTGATTTAAGCAATGAGTTCTACTCCGTGGTTACTAGGTCAACATTTGTGGTTTCTATTTAATTTGCCAGAATTTCCTTTTTTTTTTTTTTCTGTTTTCTTCTTTTAGACATGACTTCTTTTACCTCTAATGCCATCCTTTTCCTTACTGCAACTGTTCAAAGCTTTTCTGTTTATTTTGAAGTCTTCTGTAACAGTATAAATATACTCTGAGCCTCTAATTATGGTATTTTTTTCTAAGCCACCTGCAAACATTTTACCTTTTTAGCTGCCCAGTTAATTTTCTTTAAGTTCCTCATTTTATGTAGTTTCCCTTTTTAAAACTTAATGCTATGTGACGGACTTTCGGCTTCTCCAAAGACATTGAATTTACACATCAATTGTCTGTTGTTCATGAAGTGGCAATCAAAATTGGCTCTCTTTCCTGCATCTTCTAAACAGTTGCTCCAAAAGGCAGATTTTTATGATGTCTGAAAAGGTAATCTCAGGATCACAGCTCAATGAAACTTCCACAGTGTGGGTATAGGGAACCCTGATCTCCCATTATTACTTCATTTCTTGTCCATGCAGATTAGGGATAGATGAATGAACCATTTCTTGCAGTTAATACAAGGATTCAGCAAGTTAGATTATATTACTTGAATTCATACCCCCCACCAGTCACCCTCTTGCAGTAATACTTGGTTAGTCCTGAAAAAGTCTTTCAAAAATTCAGAGTAGTTGAGACGCTGATGAGACCAAGCCTTTGACTGGATATGATAAACATTTTGTTACACTTTTTTTATCCCCACTAAATTGTTCAGTAAACAGCAATGAATGAAGAAATATTTTATCCATTAAGTTCTCCAGTTACCAGCCTGGTAATGTAAGTATCTATCTGAATTTTGTATTTGTTTGGAACAGATTAGTCCCAGTGGGCTGGAAGCTGATTTGTGTTGATGAAATTTGGTAGTAAAATTTTGGATTTGAATGAAAAATAATACTTTCAATCATCTTTTTTTTTTTCATGTTGAATTGTAGAAATTACTTGGTTTTCATATAATAAAGTACCTAAGTTTTCCTATAGATCTTATGTTCATATGTGTGGTGAACTGACTAGATGATGAGTTTCAGTAATAGAACATAGAAGAGGTTTCAGCAGGGCCTGGTTACTCAGCTTACGTATATCAGTTTAGTAACATCAGTTCCATGCTGCTATGATAATTTACACCAGCTGAGGTTCTGGGCACCAGTCCTTTTATTGTGTTTTGACTTTTTAGCATGGAGGTTAAGCAACATTTGATAACCATATGTTTAATGTATTATGCCAGCAGAATAGGACTTAGAAGGTGGAGTACTGGAAGACTGGGAATTTCAAACATGTATTGTTAGATTTTATTGACTTCAGAATGTGGTGTAAATACATTGTCAGCTTCTCTATAAAACAAGGCCCCCATGTGGAGTCAAGACATACAGTGAGATCCTGTAAAATTGTAGTAAAGAAGTCTTAAAATTATGTAGATTTAATTGATTATGTTTTCCTACAAGATTATATCTTAAAAATTTAGCATTCTCAAAATAAACTCTTGAAAATGTAAAACCAGTATATAAATGCACATCTAGTGTGTCAGACTTCTGAAGTACTTTGCTCCAGCATCCATGAACATGCAGAAAGCTTTTCGCTGTTCATGCAGAGGGGAAGGCAGAAGAGCTTCTCTGAGGAACTCACCCCTTTTGTAGTAGTTTGACTGAAGGGAGCTGTAAAATAGTAACTGTTGATGATGCAAGAGCTACCTACGTGAGTGAGTATTCAGAGAATTTCAGCTTCCTTTCGATACTTTGGTGATTAGTGTACATCCTCTTAGGAAATCTGCAGGCAATGAGTGTGAATGATGGTCATCAGGGCAGAAAGCAACTAGAGAAACAAACATGGATGGAAAGCTGAGAGCATTCCAGTGGAAAACTCAGCTGTATAAAAAGTGTTGGGCATCTGTGCCAGTCTGTTTTCGTGTAGTTGTTTCATCTGTTGCGTGTAAAAAAATGGTTCTTTAGTTAAGTCTAAAAAAAAGAATTGTTCTAAAAAGTGAATGACACCTTCTGAGTTGAGAGGGGGAGAAGTTATAGTAAATCGGAAAATATTTGTTCCTGAAAACTTCTTTCTGGAAGTTTCAAAGTTCATAGAGCTCACTTGCAAAACCCTAGGGTTTAGCAAACTCCTTTGTGGTGTGAAGTTTAAATGAGGAAATATGGTAACATACCACAAAGTGTCCCTTGGGTTGTGGAAAATCACTTCCGTGCTACTTCTGGTTTAGTTATTTATTATTTGTAAGCCAATTAATGTTATTTTTCTTGATTTGTGTTAGACATGAGTCATCTAGCAAATCCTTTTTTTCTCTGTAGAAGGTATGAAGCTGTTACTTATGTGAATATAAGCAGTTGTGTTTTTATGCCAGTATCAAAACTTCCCATTTCAAAAGCCACTGGTTAACAAACACTTTGATTTTGGCATTCATCTAGGACCTATTATGCAGATACTCTGAACTGTTCTTTAGATGTGGAAAATGATGACAGCACATCACTGATTTAGTTACATTTCAATTACACAGCTAGAAATAGAAAAAAATACACTTTAATCAACATTGGGCATCCAAATAAATAATTCATCTGCAAAATTTGTTTCACTAAATTGATGCTGTTGGCATCTGTAGTCATTTTTCTTGGCTAAAGGGTACCTTGGTAACCTGTATTGTGTTTGCCCACAAAGGCACAAGACTCAATGCTAGTCTGCTTATGGCCACCAATTCCATGTGCATGTGTTTCTAGTTTTAAACCCAAGTATTGTCCTTACAATGTAATGACCATCCTTCATATGGTGTAGCCTTAATTCAAGAGTCTGTGTAAAGAAGATTGCAGACAGACTTCAGTGAACTCAAGGGGCTGATGGCAATAGTCTTCCAGTAGAGGGGGTGTGGTGGACATCCTCTGGGCTGTGGGTCTGAAACATCTCAAATTACTCAGCCATATTTGTCAGTTTAAAACCAGTGGGCTGCTCTGCCCACTAACTGCACTGATACCTTGCTTTGTTATCCTTCTGTGCAGCTTTTACTTCCTCCCCTTATGTGACAGTCAAGGAGGCTATTGCTGAAACAGGCAAGAGAGCTTTCTTACCCTGCTTCTCAAGTACTGTGATCAGTGCCATTGAGTAAATTCAATTTGGTGTCACTTCAGCTGCAGGGAACATAGCAATACGTCCCTTATAGAGATTAGTATTTTGGTTCTTATCGCGCATAACCATGCCAACATATCAGGTACTGATGTGGCACTGAAATAACAATGCTAAAAAGTAGGTATGATGATACTAAAATACTGTTTGTTGAAGTCCTGTTTCTTTCAACTTTTCAAATGTATGTCTTAAAATTTAAGGGGAAGTGAATGTCTACTACTACACTGCATTTTCAAAGGTTATTGATATAATTCTACTTTGATGGAAATAGATTCTAAAATTTTTCACCTGTATCCAGCTGGGTAAGCAGAAGGTCCATCTCAAAACCCATTTTTTCCTGACATTTGTTACTAAACCCTATGGTCAAAATTTCTTTCTAAAAAATAAGAAAGCCTTCCTGCCACATAGTTGTGGTTGAATTCTGAATTATGTAAGTTGATACAACTGCAGTTGGTTTTGTCCATTAGAATACATTAATAAAGAAAACTGTAGACACTATAAGAGCTTCATAGAGATGTTGCAGCTTGTATGGACTTTGGAAGCCTTTCTTTCTTTTCTTTTTTTTATTCCTCCTGCACGTGCAGCCTTACACAGTGTGGCTCCAGTTGCCTGTCTAGGGCCTCTACTGCCTACCATGTTATGAGTAACTGCTCCTGTTATTGTGCTGCATATTTGTGACACAGTCTGTGATAAAAGAAAATTAAGAATATTTGGCAAATAATTACAATGAACAAGAATGTCCAGACTAAGTCAGAGCTAAATACTTCTGTTGATATATTGACAGTAGTAAGTTCTGATGGATATAGTTTTCGATGTAAAAACTAAATGTCTATGTGGACAAGTCAAACATGAGTAGACTTTTGGATTATTTACTTTCAAAAACTAAAATTTTGATGAAAACAGTAAACAGGTGGATTAGTATAATCTGCAGACTACTATCTTCTCCTAAGAAAATTAAAAAATATGTTTTGATATTTTACTTGGTATTTTGAAAAGTGATTGGAATATATTACTAAAATAAAATCATTCCTTTCTCAGTCTTCCAGTGGGTCTGTGTTTCTGCCTTGACAATTGGTGCAACAAGTGTTACTAGTTATTGGTCTTTCAAATAAACTGCATCATGTCTCACAAATATTTATTACTATCCTACTAACATTAGTGTGCTAGTCTTTTATGTTTAATTTTAGAAAGACTAACCAATTTTGGAAGAATTTTTATTTTTATAGGGTTCTCTATGTCACTAAGAGATGCTGTGCTATAGCTCACATTTGGCTGGAATGTTTAGAATTTGTACATTTTTGATGTCTGATTTGTGAAGTTAGTCTTGTGACAAATTCTGCATCTTAAGTGTTTACCAGTAAGAGTATAATGAAACATTCAGAGTTAACATTAAAATACAAACATAACCTAAAATTTCTTAGTTACTTTTGCTGGTTTGGATATGTTTTTGAGCAAATGTTTCATGTGCTTTGCTCTTTGCCTTAAATCACTACAATTCTTCCTCAGACCTCCCATGCTGTTAAATGCAAGGGTAGAATGGTAGCTTCCAAGCAGTTCACTCACCTCTAAAGAAAACACTTTCAGGTCATGTTACATAACCTGTATTATAAGAGCAGATGTGGGTAAGATTCTAAAAATTCATATCCTCATCTTTTTATGTTGTGTTTGTTGTTTGGTTTTTTTATGTTTTGGTTTGTTTTTTTAGATCTGAGAGAGTTTTCGTTATAATATTAATACACTGGTCTCTTTTTTTTCCTCAATAGATAAAAAAATATTTTGAACTTGAGCCGCTTGCACGTGGAAAGCGTTGGATTCTTAAACCCTGCTCCTTGGATGATATGGAGGCAGTAAAAGACAGCTTCTCCCTTCTAATAAACTTGCTAGAAGAGAGAGACTTCGAACCTTCAAGAATGTGAAATCCAAGAGAAAGGAGTGGTTCTCCAGACATCACTGTACTTGCTCATTCTGCACACAGTTTAATTATGGTGTGGTATCAAGACTGAGCTGTGATATGTTGTTCATACAGAGTTAGTGCAGAATGTCCTTTTGTTAAAATAAATGTTCTGTGAGTCAGGTACACAACTATTTCCAGTAGAGTTGTCTATGCTACTGAAGTAGGAAGTTCCTCTTTGTTTACCACTATTTCTGCACAGTGCATGTTGCTTTCTTGCTTTGCGATCATCCTTGATAGGGAATTTTGCGCGCACAAAAATAACCTAGTCTGTAAAGGAGGAATTCTATGTGTTACCTTGGATTTTAAAAAATAACTAATATCTAAATGATTTGTGGGTCTAATTTGTATTAGCTTGTTTACTGACCTCACAGTATGGAAAAGCACAGCCACTGGGAACCTAGGATACCTAAAAGGCAAGCAGTTTCATGTTAATGCAAAGGTTATTCCTGAGGTTTTAGTAAGTGAAAACACAGTTGACAAATTTGTTGAGTCCTCTTTTAAAATCACTGCATAACCTTGCCAAAGGCAGAACAGTTATTTTGCTGGAAGTTTGATGAAAAGTGAATTAACAAACAGATGTGCACAGATAACAGTGTTTGGGGAAAGTAGGTGACATAAACAGGTGATCTAAGTAAAATGATTTTCTTAGAAATATACAAAAGTTGGATAAAGGAATAAACTAATTGAAAGTAGTTTTCCATTAAAAAGCAAGGTAAATGTCTGTTAGTTCATCTGTGGAGGCTTTATTACTAGATAGAAGTATGAGTGATTTGAAATAAGGACTGCATCCTTTATCACTCATTTGTAGACTACTACTGTTATTGTAACATTGCCAAGGCATCTATACCAGAATTAAGGGTCTTCCAGTGTTTGTACTTCTCTTTTCAAGGGGATTATGTCTTGTTCTTTCAAGCTTACTCTGGGCTAAGTGTTACTTAGAAGACAAAAAAGTATTCATTGGAAAACAACATTTGTAATACATTCAGAAAAAGCCCCTTTGGTTCAAGTAACACAGTCCACATTTTCTATTTCCACGTTTTCCCCAGATTTGCAGTGTTTTGGCTGCCTTTTGTTGATTTTTTTAAAACTTTATAACCCAATTTTGTTCATTAAAGAAATGTGCCAGGCCACTTGTCACTGAGTCAGTGACAACAGGGGACGTGCGGATCAGTTACTGGACTGGTGCACACCTTGAATGCTGTGCCTTGCACATTCAGCTACCCTTGAGTGTCTGCAAATACAAACTGTAGTGATGTGTCATTAGTTTCTCATTGATTCTGCTTGTGTTCTGAAACTTATAGCGCCGTTTTTCAGGGCTTTAAGCAGCATATCTTTCCACTCTGAGCATTTATATTTTGTTTAATGTTTATTGCAGTTTCTCATTAGTTTATTTGGGGATAAGAAAATAGCAAAGATCAGCTTTTAAAGGCTGATAAAAGCCATTTCTCTATTACTTGCAATTATACTCTTTGTTAAACAAAATGTTTTTAATAGGTGTTTTTGTTTACTTTTCAATTTCCTTGGATTTCCTGCATTGCTCCCACTGTTTTAACTTGGTTTCTGTTATCAGAAAGAAGCTGGGAAAACTGATAAACTCCTTGTTTCATTTTGAGATAGAATAGGCAGAAAGCCTGAAGGGCATCTCCTTGCTTTGTTTTTTTATTCTCTTTCCTACCAGGTCAATCGTCTCACTCCTAATACTCTTGGAAATAACTAAGAACTGGAATTGTTCATTTTGAAGCGCAGAGTAGCCCTGCTTTGGTTCAATTCTCTCTGCACACTTTAGTCGGGACCCATCTGCCCATCAGTTTCTCTTGTATGGGTTAAGGAGGTTCCTTTCCCTGGATTTAAGAAGGAATTGAATCTAATTTACAATTTCAAACTCTCTCTTAGCTTACGTGAGATTAGAGGCTACAGAGTCCTCAGATTTCCACAAGGTCCCCAAATTTCTGTCCTGTTTAGAGACAATGACAAGTAAGTGGTAAGGAGGACGTGGGAAAATTACTTGCCAGAGAAGGCAGGCAAAATGGGGGATTCAGAGCTTTTACTGCTTTTTCATTGGCCATTAGTTAGAAGATGTGAAATAACATTTTTTTACTGTTTTTCCCCTTCTTTCCCTTAGTTATGGACATACAGGAAATGAAAATAAGCCCAACCATATTGCATTCTTGAAACTTTACTTATTTCTGCCATCAGTAGAAAAACCATCGGTCTGGTCCAAAAACTTTAATGTTTCCAAGTTACATTTTGGTCATGATCTCCCAGATATGCACTGTTAGAAGGTGCTACATGACTAACATGAAAAAGGCCCAATACATTGATGAGAATATGGTTTTGGCATATGCCGGTGGCCACTTAGACTAGGACCTTAAGGCAAATGTCAACTGCACAGAAGCAGTGATTTTGATTTACCGAATTATTTTGAGTATGCTTTTTCTTATTAATACAGCGATCATTCCTCACCACAGATTGAAACAATACCTCATAACTGCTGAAGGCTAAAACCAACACTTAACTTTACTTTGAATGTAGTACTTCTGTGGTTTTGTGTTGTAGATAGACTTAATGGATGTGTACCTTTTTAATGTCTATACGCAACTTCACCTTTTTGTGAGGGGATAAAAGCATTCAGTAGCAGCTCATGTCATAATTCCTTGTCTATAGTGTTGTTGAATGCTCTGGCTTGGTAGAATATGTAAGCACTATGCAGTTTGCATTCTGCTAACCAATCTCAATTGCTTCAGTTTTTGTTGGTTTGTTTTGGTTTGTTTTTTTTTTAATCTTTTCAAATGTGTTTATCATTTAGGTGGAATAAACTTGGGCACTAGGCTCTACTTTACTTGCAAGTTCATTAAGGAGTGAACATTTTCTTTTTAAAAAAGATGTGCTTTAATGTTCTTTAGCCATCTGTTAAATTACTTCGTGTGTGTATGTGTGTGTGCCCACACTGGGCTTCTCAGACCTGTGGCTGTCTGCAGCGTCTCAGCCGTCAGAGTGAAAACATTATCAATCAATATCCAACAACAGCTGGTTTTGACAACCTTCTGTCTGCTGCCTAATGCTTTACAGCTCATCAGTAAGACTTCTTTGTCTGCCCACTCTGAGCTGGTAATCTTACTGCTTCCATGTCGTGTCCTGTAGTTGTACTTCTAGCATTTGTATGGATAAAAAGTTAAATCTTAGTGGGTTTTGATATTCTTTCTTGCTGTATAATGCTCCATGTGTATCTTAGCTTGCCTATTCAAATACGCTATACAAAAATCTGTGATGTATTATTTCATTTAACTTCTTGCATTTCATTATATTTATAGAAGTTGCAGATTTTTGTACCGTATTACTTAATACAGTTGCCTTTTTGTAATGGCAATTAATTTATATTACAAAAGTTTGTATCTTTTCTGTAGTCAAAAAATATTAGTTAACTGCCATATTATCTTAACTTTATACTAAAAATACAGTGTCTATACATGAAGTTGACCCAATTAAATGGTCAACTGCTGACGTGGGGAACCTGTACTGTTTATGATTTATACATAATTTCCACTATCAAAAAAAAAAAAAAAGAAAGAAAGAAAAAAAAAAGAAAATAAATGCTGTGTAGAATTGAGTTGATAAGTTTTGATTTCTTGAGAAAGTAGCCAACTTGGGAGTATGGCATATTACCTTGATTTGGAATGTTCAAGATTAATTATTTACCCATAAGTGTAAAAAAATATTCCTGTATAAATCATTGCTACGTCATACATTTACACACACATACATACAAAATAGAAACTTTCAAAAATTGACTGATTTTTTTGACAGCAAGATGTCATTACTCTGGAAATATATGTAAATGGTATTGCAGGTTTATTGCTGAAACAGCGATTGGAATAATCTTTATACAATTCTTCCATAATATTAAAATGAAAGACATGTTTATATGACTAGAAATTATTTTTAAATAAATGACATGGCAAAGTACATATACAAAACAAAAGCTACAGAAGTTGAGCAAAGGAATATACTCTGGGGAAAAGATTGTTGAAACAGCTCAGTGTTATCCTATCGAACACTATTTGAGTAGAAGATGCTCTTACAGTGCAAGTTGTAACAGCTGATGGAAATATAGCACTGCTGAGCCAGACTGGAGTTGCTGATTCAGCTACTAAGGTATGCTTTTTCCATTTTACTATTTTTAAATCTGCCTCTTAACCAAGACTAGGAATGAAATGAAAGATTTTTAAACTGATAATTGTTTTTTAATTCTTTTGTTTCATATAAATCGGAATTGAAAACCAACTAATCATGCCTCATTTGAGAGCTCTTGAAAGAATTTTCATTAGCTCATTAGCCCTTTGACCTAATAGTTTAAACAAATAAAAACATCTGTTTGTGTCAGCTGTAGGGTTAGTCATCCAGAGCCCAGGTTAACACAAGGATAAGAGAGAGTCCCATATCCTACATGAAGAAAACCCAAACTGTTTTCAGTATCTGCAGTTGAAAAGGACCCCTGAAATCAAGTAGGGCTGTTACTGAATTCTGTTAGGCGAAGAAACAAAAAGATCATTACCTTTCTCAGTCCTCAGCCCTCATGAGTGAACTGACTAATTTCATTGTGTGAGTTGGACTGAAGATCAGATCTAATTTAAATAGTTCTGGGATATTCATGCTTAATGCTACCTGCTTATAATGTGTTGTAGCTTTCATCACAGATACATTTGGAGAAGCCAAAGTATGCTGTGTATGTTGCTTGTTCATTCACCAGATTTCATAGGAAAATGTAATATGTGGTATTCCGGTGGGTTTTGATGGGATATGTTCAGGGCAACCTTGTTTATAGAGGGTATGTTTGTGCATCAAGCATGTTCAGCACTTCTATTTATGTCTTAAGTATGCCTCAGTTTTTTAATCACTGAATATCTCTAGGAAAGGCAGATATTCAAATGGTTCTAACAGTAGATTATGTAGCTCCAGTTACCTGTGACAGTAAACTGGGAGAGAACAAAAGTATTCTAATCATCTGGTTGTCAGGTTTACAGTAAATCCAACTGAAATATTTAGCAAAAGGTCCAGTGCTGGTTTGGGATGATTATGGGAGAAGAGGCACTCATTGCCTGAAAATAACCTGAATCACAGAATCACAGAATATCCTGAGTTGGGAGGGACTCACAAGGATAATTAAAGTCCTGACCCTGTACAGAACAGCCACGAGAGTCACACCATGTGCCTGAGAGCATTGTCCAAATGCTTCTTGAACTCTGTCAAGCTTGGTGCTGTGACCACTTCCCTGGGGAGCCTGTTCCAGTGCCCAACCACCCTCTGGGTGGAGAACGTTTTACTAGATTCTAAACCTCCCCTGACACAGTTTCAAGCCATTTCCACAGGTCCTCTCACTGGTCACCAGACAGAAGAGATTGGTCCCTGCCCCTCCACTTCCCCTCCTGAGGAAGCTGTAGACTGTGATGAGGTCTCCCCTCAGTCTCCTCTTCTCCAGCCTGGTTTGGTAAAGACCATATTTGTAATGAAAAACTATTGTATAGTTAATTTCTAAACAGAGAAACATTTCTCACACATGAAAAAACTATACATGTATTTGAGAATTTGCCCACATACTAAGAAGAGGCATGAATTGTACCTAAAACTGACAACAAATAAAACCAGCCATCACAGCGTCTTTTTTTTTTACCTGCCACCTCACAATAGTAAAATGCTGTTGTTCAGTTTTATTATGATGCCATGTAGCTATAATTTATTGCATTTCAGTGTGCACTGGAAAGTATTTGCATGTAATAAGTAAAAGAAGATAAAAATCCATTTGTGGTTTGGCAACTTCCATGTATCAAGAGCTACCCTCTTTCTAAGGAGACATTGAGCACTGGAGTACAGGAACCTTATACTGTAACTTTGTTATAAATCACTGCTAACCGAAATGCTAAATAATGGAAATCCCAAACAAAAAGTCTGGTACTTTTTAAATGCATAGTCCCAAAGATGGTGTGCAGGAGAGAGGAAATCAAGACTTGCATATGAATGTTGCAAAACCAAAACAAGTTTAATGGCCAACCACACAGCAAAGTATTTGTGTTTTAACAATGTGGCAGTCTTGAATTTGGAAGGTTGATAGATTTTTCAGGATCAAAAGAACATTTTGTAAAAAGTTTAATTTTATAGTAGGTTTCATTTTGGACCTGTCAACTTTGACACAGTCCCATTAAAGCAATAATTCCTGCTATGCGTTAAGGTTGGCACTCCAAAAATTTCTTCTATGGAAATGAATCTGTTCTGTGTTCTGTTAGAAATGCTCAAATAGCATTGTTTGTCCTGTGTCACCTTATTTATTTGAAAGGACGTATCTTAGCATTTCCTCAGAGATGCATATACACCCAAATTGCAATATTATTGTATCTTTCAAAGACCCCGTTTCTGCCAATGTCAAGATTGTCTATTTTAATGCTTATGAAAACAAATATCTATTTGCAAATCTGTCAGAATTATTTTATTATAGCATTCCCAAGTATGTAAGACCTAGAGATTCAAAATATGAATGGGATTACACCATTTAAAATTAGCACTGATTACCTACAGTATCTGGGAAATTGTTTTTTTTATTTAACAGTGGAATGAAAAATGCAACTCATAATTGCCCCAATATTTATCTTGCTGCAGAGAAAAAATTAGCACTCATTAGAATTCATATGGGTTATGACAGCCTTAGTCCATTTTTACTAAATTGCTTTGTTTGCCAATCCACTCTGGTTTACACATGTGTGTCACTTAAAACTGAAAGACTTCCTTCAAGTATTTGAAACTAAGGTTGATTTAAAAAAATACTAATTGCCTTGTCTAAAAATATTTTTTACATGATTTGCAGGAGCGTGACTGTTGCAGAAAAATTCACTTTTGCCTTTAAGATATAGAGCATGACCTTTTGGTTACAGTAAATACAGTACTCCAAGTCTGGTAAAGTCATCACATATACTAAAGGTATTAAGACAATTTACCTCACATTCCTTCCTATTAGCTTCCACAATTAACATGATCCACAGCTGAAAAAATAATTCTAGTTGTCGCTGATAAATGGGGTGAAATCGTCAATCACTGAAGTTGACAGTATTATTTTAAAAAGATATTGCAAACAAATGTTTACCCAGAGATAGTAGTATGTTGCTGAGATTTTGTTCTTCAGGGTTCTCTCATTTCATTCATGTTGCTGACTTTGGTGCTCAATCTCAGATTAAAGAAGGGGTTTTTTTGCTTTGGGTTTTTTGGGAGGTTTTTTGTAATTTTTTTTTTTTTTTTTTTTTCTGTAGCACGAAGAGACCAAACACCCATGCATCAAAGTGTTTAACAGAACCAGGAGCATTCCTGGTAACACTCAGAGATATAACTTCAGCTTTTTGTTTATTTGTTTTCTTTTCTTGATATGATGTGCAGACCTGAGATTTTGGTTCAGGCCTGTCTCCACTGAGAGGTGCCAGTAATACAGAACTCTCCTATTGTGGGCTAAATAGATATCTTACCTATTTTTAACACTCACTTTTGATCTCTGAAGAATTTTAATATCAAGGTGAAATATTACATGTTGGTTTCATATGTAGATACTTCAGTGACATAGACATTAATGAAAATGCATACAGTGTTCGTAGAGAAGAAATATCTTGTTTTTGACATTCTCAGTGCTGAGGAGAAATCTTTCATGAAACTGCTGCGGGATGGTGAGTCTCGTTCTGTCTGCTTGTGAGAGGCAGTTTTGCTTTTAAGTTTGGTTCAAAACAAATTAAATAGAAACTTTTTCTTTCAAGTTTGATATTTTAAACTACGTGGATACTGCCAATTAGCATGTTCTCAAGCACTTTGTGAGAATCATTTCACATCTAACCTGATTAAGGCCTGAGGAGGTGTTCACTACTAGTCAATGTTTCCAGTTAGTGATTTGATCTTTTCAATTTCTTTCTGCATATAACATTTAAAAAAACCCTTGATGTTCACACCTGTTTGCACATCTTGTGTCAGACAAGTGTGCCCTAGGAGTGGTTGTTGAGGCAAGTCTGGAATTCTCCTGGCACTCAAGGATCAGTTTGTTCTCATTTGTCTCCAGATGAGACAGAATATTGTGTTCTTTCGCCATCAAGGACCATTTTCTCACCATCTTTTTTGTTTCCATATCTGCTTATTTTGGATGGGAACTCTGGTTCATGCAATAACTAATGTTGGATGATGCATTTTCTTTCAGCAAAACAGGGACTATTGCAGAGAAATAGTTCTGAGACTCTTTTTTATTATCAAAATTACAGGTTATGTTGCAAATACTAACTAGAAAATGTAATTGTTAGTCAATGGGTTTGAGTATATCTAAAAGCCAAGATCAAGTGTATCCTATTCCAGCTGACTGATGCTGAATATTGGTTCTCATTTGCTAATGTCAGAATTAAAGCAGAAAAAGTTACCAAAAATACATGGTGTCTGATTCAGCAGGAAGCTTAGCCCAGTGAGTCATGAGCCACCGTTCTGAATGGCACTGAGACCTCCATCTCTCTGATGGGAAGCAAAGGTGGCCATCTGCCTGAACCTATAACCTGTAGACCATAAGATACTTAATATGTTTGCCACAGAGCTGAGGGGAGATGCCAGTTTGAGGAGGCCTTGGTAGCGGCTCTACCTGACCAAGTCATGCCAACTCACATCTTCTGCCAGAGAAGGGACTAGTAGTCACTGTTCCAGCAGAGCCCACTGCTTGCCAGTGGCCCACTTGACTTGTCAGGAATGGTGTGGAGTTTAGAGCCACAAGCCAGCCATGTCTGGCTTACTGAGACAAGCACTTTTCAAGGCGATGAAAGAAACACTGAAATGGGAAAATGAGTGCTGGTGGCAGGCCTCCACACCTGTCATGCTGTATTACAGTTTCAGTCTTTGATTGTTGGTCCCATAAAGGTGTCGTTTTCTTCATGTTATTAAAGCAATTACAGTTATTATACTAAATTTGTCCTTTCTGAAGGGAGCAAGAATAAATGAGAGAGGATTTGCATACAAATTGAGCCTGATGTGGGGGAAAATCGGAGCAGGTGGTGAAGCTGTGTGAGGAGACATTATGCAGGAGCATGGCCGGAGCTGCCCTCCTCTACAACCCGTTGCTGGTGACCCTTTGAGGAATGTCTCCTGACTGTCTGGTGGATTCATTTGAATGAAGGACAGTTTGGCACACTGTTATCCTGGGCAGATCAAAGGCCAGGCGTTGGCTGGCTGGATGGACAGAGGAGGCATGTGAAAGGCCTCCCCTCCCACTGGCAAGGCCTTTCCTTGGCACTGCTCAGCCTCCCCCCACCTCTTCTCTCAGAGACATACCCCTGTGTAAGGCAGCTCTCCTGTCCCGTGCTGCCAGGTAGGATGCCTGCCTTTGCTGCAGGAGCACCTGCCTCTGAGTGTGGTGGGTTCCCCTGGCCTCAGTCAGCTGGGATAGTGAGTAGTGCTCTGGGACTGCACCTCCCATTGCATCCTAGGAAGGGCGTCAGGTCGCCCATGCAGGTGTTTGTAGTTCAGAAGAGGAAGACAAGGTGGGCAGCAGGTTTCCAAGCCCATCCAAAGTGACAGCATATTTGGCTTTTGGACATGGAAAACCATTGCTCCAGTTTCCCACTGCGGTTGTGTTTCTTTACACAAGGTTCCCCTTGTGTGTCTAATGACAGGGGTAGGGGTTCTCACTCATGAAAGTGCTATAAAATATTAGGAAATAAAGCTATTTTTTTTCCTGAGACTGAGTTTTATACCCCAAGTCACTGCTAAACAAAGGATCAGTGGTGTGGAGGAAACACAAATGCCTGGCCCTGTCCTTGTTAGGTTTGGACTAGTTTCAGCCCAACAAGCCTGGTACTGAGTAATTGATGTGCAAATTAATTTTATGATATTACTAGTAGATGAAAAGTGTATCTGAAATATACATTACTTGCAAATGAACCTTTGTTATAATGGGTTGTCCTCATTGAAACAGCCCTGGAACATGCTGTTTAAATAAGAAAGAATGCTGTTGTACTTTATTTTTAGTAATGTCTTTTGACACTGAATAAGATTCTTTGAATTCCTACAGATGTGGAAAAAAAGCAGCCCTCTTTCTCTTTTTTTAGGAAAAAAAATTGTGTTTACATTTGTTTTATAAGTGGGAGAACGATTATAAGTTGTATCTTCATGGGTCAGCATTGTCGGCTATATTATAGGGCAATAACCAAGTTGCTTTCCTGACTTAACATGTGCATGGATATCAAGACCAATGAAGGTAAAATTAAACCAGTGAATGGCTGTCTGTGTGAAGGTTCATATTAATTTTTAAAAGTCTATAGCAGTAACAAGTGTAGCAGATATCCTAAATCAGAACATGAGGATGATGTTGAATCATCTCAACTATTTTGAAGAGTTTCTCTGTGTTTCAATGTCAGACCTGCCTCCACTGAAAAAGAATAACTGGTTAGAGCATGAGCTACCAGAATCATGGCTGTTACTGCAGATCTGCTGCTTTAATCATGACGACTGTTCTGCTTTTCAGTCATGGTTCAAGACTGATCCAGAAATATTCATTTATTTCCATAGTTAAAGTTAAATCACTGATACAGAAGTTACTATCTGGGCATTCAAGTGTGGGATTACCAGCTTTTTACTTGGATATTTTCCTCTGTAGCCACAGAAGAAATAATTTCCTTTTTTTTTTTTTGCACTGTGGTATTTAAATGTGAGAGAACAACTGAAAGGATAATAAGTTAGGAAAGCTAATTCTCCTTTTCCAGGCAATGAAGAGAAACCACATGGTAGGTGAAACATCTTGCTTTAGAAATCCTGGTGGACTCACTGATTTACAGAGATCTATCCAGTTCTCACAGTTATTAAACCAGAGGGATTAAGATTTGGAGGACATCACCAGCTGGTCTTAGTCACAGTGCAAGTAAGCAAATTTCTCTAATTTATATTTTTTGATGACTTTTAAAAAAAAAATTATCAAACCTATACTTCTGACCACTCCATGGCTTTGCAATCTAATAATAACACAGCTTAGACTTCTGAAATTCAGCAGAGTTTGTGAATACATTTTCCCTTATAATAAGTGATCTTTTAAGAATGAAGAAACATTTTTCTTTTTTTTTTTTTTTAAATCAATATTTTAAAAAAATTACTTGCTTTGGTCATAGCTAATTTAGCCCTGATGAGGATTTTTTCACAGACAGAATAGAATATTATAGTTCAATTATGAAGGCCTGCAACAATTATCTAGTCCGTCTGCCTCATTATTTGAGGATTTGGACCATTGTCCAAACCTGTCCACTGACCAGCTAGGGTCCCTGACCATCTCTCTAAGAAGCCTGTTGCAGAGTTTGACCACCCTCTCATTAAAGAAATACTTCCTAATGTCCAGTCTAAATCTCCCCTTGTATTGCTTTGAACCATTTCCATGCATCCCGTGACAGGATACCATGGATCACTACCATAAATAGCAAAAATGCTAATTTTTGGACTGCAACAGTATGAACTTTTACAGAAAGCATTTTCTGCCGTAATCTGTCCCATCAGAACCCTGTTTCTTCTCTTTATCTGCATCTGTTACTCAGTACTAATTCTCATTTTACGCCCTCTCAAGCATTCCCCTTACACAGAAGATTCTCAAATGCAAACACTTTCAAATACATTTCTGCATTCTTAGTGAAAAAACCCCAAACGAAAAAAAACTCCAAACCCTGGGTGTCAGGATGTTCAAAACATACAATATGTTTTTTATTTAATGCAAAGAGACACAAGAAAAAAAGACATGTTGACCTCACTCAGTAAGTTTTTCTGAAGAACATTGCAAAATATATGTAAACTCCCTTGGCCTATTCAATCTTTCCAGATGCATCGCTCTCCTGGGTACCTAGACAGATGTAGAGTCAAGTGGAAGTGCAGATAAGCATGTTCGATACCACCACTGTACTGAGATATGCAGACCACCATATGGAAGGCAAATGTCATCAATTTTTTCCCCATTTTAAAGTTTCTTATGAGGAAAGTTTAGCCCTACCTGTGGTTACAGAACAAAGGAAAAATCTTTTCTATGTGCATTTTATAATGTATCTCTTATGTAATCATTTATGGGACATTATAGCTGGAATACATAAAAAATTTCAGTATTTATTTCTCCATCAGAATTGCTCAGGTTTTTCTTCACCTGTCAAAATGAATTGCCTCTACTGAGCAATGTCTCAGTGTTCTGCATGTCTCTGTTCTGTGATTGCTTTAAGGCCACAGTATATCAGATTCAGCTTCTTAAACTAAAAGGTGTAGGAAATTCAGAGAGAAAAATATTACCAAAGTAACTTCATTAAAGAGCCCTGTATGGAAGATCAATGTCTTTTCTCAAAATGCACTCAGAGAAAATGTTGTGTTGAAAAACAATAAAAAATATTGCACTGATGTTTCAGAGGTTGTAAATGTGATAGTCTGTTACCAGAATTACTTCAGTGTCATATATACTTGCCTAAAATTGACTTTATTTTGAAATTTTGTCATCTATCTTCATTTCTCTATTTGTCTTTGTAACACACCTTTTCAAACAGCACATGGTCTGGTTTTCATTCTCAGTAAAATTCCCTGTCCTCCTGCAGTTATCCTGAATGTCAAAATCAGGGCATAACTTGCCCACCTTCATGCTAAAGCATGACTCCTCTTATGGGGAGTTACAGCTCTTGTTTTTCAGACCTATGGTTCTGAAGGTCTCACAAAATCTTGGGATTATACATTTTTCCCTCAACTGTGAAATCTCTTCATACCTGCAGCATTTACACAGCATGGAATGAGTGTCCAGTAATGAATGACAATGAATGAAAAGACAGAACAAATGTATTTGAAGCAAGAGAGCCTTTCCACAATGTGTGCAGGGTGAATTTGGCAAATCCATATAAACTGACTAGAGAGGATGATAGGTATCACCCTCCATCGCTTAGGACAAATGTATTTCAGAAACATAGGCTTGGTGTCTTCATCCATCACCTTCAAACAACCCCCTAATCCATGGTCATGGTATCCTGGATGTGGGTCGTGAGGTCAGGTAGAAGAAGTGAACTTCTCTGACTGGCCTGGTCATTCTGCTCTCCTTTTCCCAGGGCAGGCAGGTTGACTTTTTTTTTTCCATCTGAAGGCCATCGTGCAGTTCTCTGAATAGGTAAGTCTGGTGCCTATCCAGAAACTGACGAGTTCAGAACACTGATTCTCATCTTACCTATTCAGCTAGAAGGATAGAAACCCACTAAACTTTCACTCATTTTCTGCTTCATTTCTTGATCTTCAGGATCCTAGAAATGGCTCCAGCATCCAAAGGGCTGGGGATCCTTCTCATACAGCTGTAGTAACCATGAGCCCTGGGAATGCCTTGAGAAGTGACTTGGCTGCAGACATCTTCTTCATGGAAGGTGGTGTCTGTGGTACAGCTCAGCACAAAGGCTGCCTAATGTCACAGCTTAGCTCCCTCAAAAACATGGCACAATGCTAGTAGCTCTGCTCAGACAATTGCCAGATAACATCTCAGAAGCATTCTGGGAAATGTTTTCCTAATTGACTATTTATCTCAGAGTGCCTCTCCTCTCAAGCAATTGAAATCTTGCTTAGAAAAAGGGCACATTTTAGAATCTGACATACACCTTAGTGTTGAGAGTATTAAGGATGTAGTGTTGTCTTTCAAGGACGCCAGTTATGTCTGCAGCCTTCTACAGAGTCTTCATTGTCTGTTGGATAAAAGCTGAGACCCACACTGCTGCTGACATTCAGACCATCCTCACAGGAACAGTTGTTTACAGGTGTATGTAACAGTTTAAAGCATACATATTTTTCAGACAGTGACTGCTGCATGGTCTGTAGCTAAGCTATCTTGCAATCCAGACAGAACAACAGTTAAAATAGATGAACTTGTGTCAATATTTCCCCATTTTTATCCAGGTTTCATGGAGTGCCTTTGAAAGTCTGTCTGGGCAGTACTAGCTGTTAGCTTTCTAGGGGAATATGTTTTGTTTGATTTAATTATAATAATGTCTGATATAACAATCTATTTCTACCAATTCTTCTCACATCAATATTTATTCAGTGCCATAGTGTTGTTTTGTTGGAACATCCTGATTTAGCATTATTATTCTCCTATGGCTCTGTCTCTGTTATTCAAACAACTTTACAAGCCTCCAGCATTAAGCTTCACTCCATTCTTTACAAAAGCGAGGACTTTTTTTCTTCCATTTTGCAACAAGGGAGATCAAATGCAAAATGATTTTGACCTGAAGATCATCTGGACTCTGAAGCAATGCTGGTGCTTGAACACGGGATCTCACTGCAGTACTTTCCCTATGCAATTAAGGCCTCCCACAGATTAGACTAGCAAAGCAAGTTTGCAATCCTTTCATGTTAAGCTACCCAAGGCACTTTCACTTTGGTAACCCAACGAAATTTGTCTGGGGCTTGATTTCATTAAACACAACCAGCACGCAGTCCTGTTGTACCTTGCAAACAGTTATGACTCTCTTCTGCAGCTGTTTCAGGGGAGACAAGGTTGTGTACCAGCATGACTGGGGTTTTAGTTTCGTCAGAGTCCTTTGGGGTAAAAGCTATGTTTTGCATCACAGTACTACAGTTTTATGTAGGCAATGTGTACAACAGTGTAATTTTACCTGGTACAGGAATTGTGTACTTACATCTTGGGTCATATTATGAAGAGGATTTAATGCTCGTTTTCATGAAAGCCTAATTTTAAAGAGGTTTTTGTCTAAACAGTTAATAGATTTTGACTTTATCTTTTTGATGTGTTCTGTACAAGAAAGGATCTGTTGAATGCAGTTCATTTCTTTCAGCTGTAGCTAGATATTCACATATATCTTCTAAATAATATGAAGTAAAACCCAGTCAACCATGAAGAAAGGATATCTGTTTACAGTTTAGAATCTGTGCTAATACATATTTCAAACCCTCACTATTGGATTTATGGATAGTTCATGTTGTTATTTAAATGTTTTATTTGTTCCTTTACTATAATTCAAACCAGTTAGTTTCTAATTTTCAGGCAAAGTTGAAACTGATTCAGTTTAAACTGAATGGGTTCATGTGGCTATTTCAGCCTCAAAGATTTTGAACTATGTTAAATCTATTTACAGTTTTAGTGAAAAAATAGGGAATAAATTAAATTTTTCTTTAAAATAAGTTGTTTAAGATTAAGTAACTTATTTTCAAATGAAAATGTACTTGTAAATTAGATGTGCCATAATATTACATCTCTTCTGAACATGATATATCCATCTGTACAGTTATCCCTGACTCACCAGAGCCAAATAGCAATTGAACACTCTTAATACCACACAGTGGTACTAGCGCCACTTCTTGCAACCCATACTTGTTTTTTCAATAGGTCTGTATCTACCTTCATGATCTGAAAGGACTGCATACAGATGTGTTGCAGCAGATGCTTGTTTTATGTAGATGTGGTGAGAGTATATGCCTCCTTTCTTTCTGTTTCCATCTGGAGTTGTTTTCTCAATACTACTTCATACAAGATTCATTCCCATCCATCTTATTTTTGCTGTCCTAATGCTTTCCAGTAAAATGCTTTGGGATGACTAATACCCAGGTGAACCTACAGACTCCATCTAGTTTCTTTGGTAGTGAGTTTATGAGGAAAAGTTTATTTCTGCCCTACCCTCCTCCCTTGCTCTTCGTCTTCAGACCCTGGTGTCAGCACCAGCGCTGCAGCCTCAGTTTCCACTACGACAACGTAGAGCAGCAGAAGTGGGAACCACAGTCTGCATAGAGCAGTGCATCCCTTTCTCAGAGAAACCCAATCTGCATAAACTGCCACATTCTGAAGTTTTTAAACTTTCACCTTACTTCACAGTTTTCAAGTTAAAATAAACTGCTTGACTGCTTAATTGCAGCTGGATTGTAAATCTTCTAACAGTCATCTGTCTTCTACAGCTTGCACACACCAGGGCGCTAAGCACAATCACAGAGCCTCACCAAAACGAGGTATGTTTGCTGCAAATTCTAAATATGGTACGATTTTTGTGCTGTATCATTTTGATTTTGTGCCATTATCTTTTCAATTAGGATATTGCTGTTTCTTTTGTTCGTGGAGACAAAAGGAAAGAGAGCAAACGCATAATAGGCAGTCCCTGGTTTGCAGTATTGGAACAGATTTCACATTTCACATTTCACTATCTTGACTGTATCAGTGCACTCAAGCTGGATAAATGAACTGAAGAGGCCTCTGACCCAAAATAATGGTATATAAAATGCCTCCTTCAATTATATTGAATATGAACCAACTATATTTTTAAGAGGTTGTATCTCGTATGTCTGTATTCAGTCCTGTTTCTTCCCCCACCTCTCTGTGCTGCCTTTCCTTGTTAATTCATTTAAACAGGGTTTCTTTCTGCTCAATTTGCATTCAAATGGCTGTCAGGGGAATTTATGGAAATAATATAAGTGCTTTTATCACTGTGTATTTAGTCACATGTGCTAAATTTCAAAAGATGAACTTGTCTAGCATCTTAGCAAAAGAAAGAGTAAGAGTCAAGCACCAGTTTTATGGCTATAAAGCCAAGACCAGCATCCCAATTAATGATTTTTTTGGCTCAATTGATATATCTTTGTCTATTGTGGCCCATCTTATCCATTGTCTGGCAGATATTTTCTGCTTCTTCCTCCCCCCTTGCAAAGGAAGTAGCAAAAAGCCCTTCTCTAGATCCAGCACACAGTGGAATCTGTTTCTTTTTTTTCTTTAGCAGTGAAACACAGATTTATTGAGTTTTGAAAATTTCACTTTCTGTGCTGTTTCTTTTCCTTAATTGGTGTTAGAGCAATAGGGGCACACCTCTTTCTCACAGTTAGCAGGAACTCCATGGAGGCCACCATGGAACACCAGTAGTTACCTGTGTGTATTGATTCTCTGAAAGATGAATCTGCCCCCTCTTCTTCTCAAAGTTGCAATTAGCAGATTCCCCAACTCCCAGTGTATTTGGTAACATCTTCAGCAAATTCACAGCCAAGACAAACTTAATTTTGACCAAATCTGACACCAATGGCTTATTAAATTGAGCATGTATTTATTGCTTAGGTAATATGAGATACTTTTTGGTCTGGCTCCTTTGAAAGGCAAGTAACTTTATTTTTCTTTTTGGCATTTGGTGACAAATACTTCCTCCTCTGTTTTCCTGAAAATTGCAGTAATTAGTGCAGAAAGAGACTTCTATAAAGCATGTAAGTAGTTCAGGGAAACAGTTGGAGGCAGGAATGCGGTGGTTTTTCAGACAAAATCAAGAAATTTATTTTTTAAGATTTTTTTTTTTTTTTTAGATCTACTGTTAAGCTGTCTGAGTGGCAAATTATCCATTATATTTTCACATATTTTCTAAAAGAAAGGGAGAAATTGTGCTGAAATTGTTTTGTGTA